TTGACTTACAGATAAACCGAGCCCTGCAGAGCTGTTTCTTTATTGAAATTTCTTAATTTGTCTAGGTGTAATTCTGTGTAGCGTTGTTTTTTTTTTTTTTTAATTTGGAATTTAACTTGAATTAAATCTTCTACTTGGTGAACTTTCAAAGATTCTACTCAGTTAATGGATTTGGATTGTGTCTGGAGTGTCCCTTGAGTTTGTTTTATTTCTCTCCTTAATTGCTGCCTTTTACTACAGTGGCAATCTTAACTGTATATCACTTTTTCGCACTGGAGTGACAACCAGAAATGCTTGAGAAAAATAATACTCTATTTTCTTACTTCTCTAAGGGGGGCGAAAAGTTGCAGAAAGGGTCTCCCTTTTATACTCCTTGGGTCGCCTTCCTTTTTCACGCTCTACCATCTATTTACAGGATTTATTTACGGTGTATTTTTCTCAAACTGAATAAAAAATGAAATTTTCACGCTATAGTTCTACTGTGGTCAGACTGTGCCTAGAATCCTTATTGTCCTCCCTCGCCTAAGCTATTTTAATAGTTAATTAGAACTTGGCTGCGCTGCATTTGTCACAGTTACCTATTTCAAATTCCTTTTAAATTTGCTATGACTCGGTGATTCTGAATTCAAACTTCGCATTACTATGCGTACGGCTGTGCTGAGACCTTCAGCTGATTTATTCCATTTTTATTTAGTGACATTTAGTTAAAATGAGACTGAAATGGTAAATGAGTGAATTATTCAGGTTTAAAACCGAAAGAAAAAGTTGCTAGTAGTCAAAAATTACTCAAACGAATGTATTATAGCTCTCCACTTCATTAGAATATCGTTCCCTAGAATTCCTGCCATGGTCCATCATAGTTTAGTGGTTTTCGTGAATTTCGTTCATATTCCCTGATTCCCCTTTGTATTATCACATCCTAATCCTCCATATGTATTGTTCGTTGTTATAGTAGGTCGTCCTCGAAGATATCATATTTTTATGTATTTTATTTAGGGCTCTGGACCTCTTGAAGCTGTCTTCCCACGCGTTTTCAGGTTTCTAACTTCATGTCCTTGTATCTCATTCATTTCTGGATGTTTTCTCACATTCTTGGTATCATAAATTTTCATTTATTCCCACCTTTCCAATGGTACTAAATTTGTGTTCTATTTCCTGGTATTCGTTGAGTTAGCAAAAGTTCATGCACACATTCGGTAATCATGTGCATCGTTCCCATAGTCGTTCATATGCAGGCACTGTTTCCGTTTAATTGTTCGGGATTTATGATATGCATGGGTGTTTATATCTTTCATATGGGCTTCTGTGATTTATTTCAGATTTTTCCCTCATGATCTAAGGTTGTTTTGCACTTTCTGTGCTTTGTTTTTGACTGGGCTCTTCCTTATTTGGACAGAAATTGGTCTTCACAATCTGCTGAAGTGCGGATCTCGGTTCCGATGGCTGGTTCCCTTCGCATCGCCACCCTCACGTGTCATTAAACATGATGCGGATTTCTATATTCCCATCATGGGTATAACTTCACAACGGCTGGACCGTTTGGGCTGAAAATTTGCATAACTATAGTTCCCCATTTTTCATAATTTCCGTGTAAATTTCGTTGTATATTTTAATTATGGATCCTACGCAAACATCGTCTTTTCCCTGAGCTCGGACTTTTGATGTCGCTATTCCCATTATTGGATATCTCATTAATGCATGATCCTTTTATTATGAAAATTTGGGAGGATTAAGATTAGATCCCTTCCTTTCTAATGGGCTATCAAGCTTGTCTTGGTCGTTACTGGTTAGTCTTCGTGCTTGCTTTTTAGACGTTGTCCTCATTTTGCAGGAGTTTTAGTCATATCTCCGTCGTTTATGGGTAGTTTCCCCTGTACTTACTTTCATTGGGTCCGTTTGGGGGACATCTACATTTCCTATTATAGACACAACTTTGAATTTTGCATTAGCTCCTGAGGAATCCTTGTTCCGTGGTACTTCCATCCTTGGCTACGTGTGCGGACGTGGGAAAGTAGTTTCCGTGGAGGTTCTCTGATTGATTTTATAGTCAAATCTTGGTCGATTGTCCTAATTCTTTGTTTAATATTTGCTATAAATTCCCCCGAAAATTCCGTCTCGTTGATGCTAAGCTTGAAGTATTTTTGCTAATTTCCTTTCTTTCAATTTATCGTGTATAGTCATAATAATTCGTAATAATTCGTAAAAATTCGTAAAAATTCATTAAAATTCAGGTTCTTCTATTTTCTCATATCTACTTGTCGTATGGGGTTTTGTGATTTATCTGGCATATTTCCATAATGGGTTTCCATAGTGTGACCGTTATTTCTCCTACAGTGCATGCAGTTTGTGCATGCCTGGTACTTGCCCTGCTTGCAGACCAGCTGGGACTTGATGCAACGACCACAGGGGGGCTTCTCCCTTGTGGCCTGTGGAGGGTCGACTGAGGCCTTGCGCTAAAAGAAAAACAAAAAAAAAAAAATTGTGTTAGCCTCAGGGATCTCGTGGCAGTAAGTGTTTAAAGATGCTGGCTACTCACCTTGCCTTTGGACAACCCAGCCGCCTGCACCTGCTGGCACTTCGCCTCTGCCTCCCGCTCCCTGGCTTCCTCTTCCTCATGCCTTCTCTTTTCTTTGGCCGCCCGCCTAGCTGCCTTGGTGTCAGGGCACGGCCTAACCAGCTACCCTGACTCCCTATGCTGGAAGGGAGTTGCCATAAGACGATCCGGAGTGATCCGAAGAACGCAGGTAATCTCACTTAGCTCTCGCTTAGCTCCCGCTTCCTATCTTCTGTCCACATGTCACCCCTTTCCCACACCTCGCTTACAATTATCCGAATGAATATCTATCTTTTCATGTCGTCATTCTATCGGTTATCTTCTATCTCGTTGTAGCTGCACTCTAGTGGGTAGCGGTACCCATGTATATAACTCCTATCTCTGCTGAGGATGGCACCTCAGCGTTAACAACGACTAGGATTCTTGGGAACACCTTTATCATCGTGAACTGACATGCAGTCCCTGACACTTGGCCACTTTCTTGACTGCCTTGTTGTCAGGGACCGACCCGGGGTCGAGAGCGCCCGGGTGTATCGCCCGAGGCTGAGGGTCCGGTAGGTATGATGCGGGTGCGCGTAGCAGCGGGCCCGAAGCAGACAAGGGTCCCTGGCCACTAAGACTAAAGTGGGAAATGTGTTATTGTCATTATCAAGGGAGGTGTAAGCTACTTGCCTAAAGTGGGAAATGTGAGAAGAAGGTTGCTTCTCAGTTCCCACTTAGGCTTTGTTTATATACATGTGGTTGAAGGCCACGTGGGAAGCGCCACGTCATCCGAGCACACAGCCACCTCCGTCTGGGTACCTCCGTAAGAGGTCCTAGGAGCGTCCGGTGTGCGGGGGGTCGTCCGGTGTGTCCGGGTTCGGGCGCGTTACGCTGCAGCCAGGTCAATGGTACATTGATACAAAGGAAGTCATCCGTGTGATAAGAAAGGAATAAAGAGGAGAGAGAATAGAAAAGAAGGAGAGGAAGGAAGGGAAGGGAGGAAAGGGGAAGAGGGGGGGCTCGGGAGGAGTGGATGGTGGGGCACCGGGTTAGGTGGGGCCGGGTCAGGCGGGCGTGCCCTGACACTTGTGCCTCACCTGCTCATTCAGCTTCGCCTGCATCATGGCAGGCTTGTCATCCATCGCCTCCTGGATGTCCTCCTCCTCCCAGGATGTGATGCTGTGTAGCTCGAGAGACTTGGACATGAGAGCGGGGTATTGAGTAAGATTGTTGGGTAATGACTGGACTTGATCAAAGGATGTTTTGTTTTCACATGCAGATTCAAAACTCGGGATTGGCCAAACAATTCTCATGTGCACCAATTGGGCCTCCAGGGGCATCGGCCCTAAGAAGGGGATACTGTCACGACCCGGCATATCTGTCACTTCCATCAACACGTCCTAATGCCACTTGGGCTGTCCCACTGTCAGGGTTCAGCACCCTGCCTTAGGGTGCCCCGGACTCCCCACCTACTTTACCCCCTTTTATTCTTTGACTGTTGCCTTGTTGTTGCCTTTGTGTGTTGTGTACACGCGCGCACGGGATAGCGTGGGAACTTTCTGAGCGAGCAGCTTGCCCAGAATGTTCCCACGGGTCACAGCCACAGTTCTGGGCGAGCAACTCGCCCAGAACGTTCCCACGCTTACTGGGCACTGCCACCTGGATGTTCCCTCCGGGTCACACTACACAACTCTAGGAGCTGTATAGTTGTGGGCATGTGACCCATTCCTTTATATAGCAACCATGCGGGGAGATGAGACCTTTACCCTTCTTCTCATCTCATGCCCCGCATAGGCAAGTGTATATATTCCCTTTCTTTTACTATACATCTCATGCCCCGCATAGTGTGAGGACAGGCCAGATGGGGGTTGAGGTCAGGGAGCCTCCGAGTCCAAGGCCGGGCCCTGACACCCACCCGCTACCATCATCATCCATCCATCCATCTGTCCACCCGTCACCCTCATCTGCACTTCCTCCCCTGTGCGCGTACCTTCCAACCAAGGTTGCCCGTTCGAGTGGTTCATTGTTGTCTGCCCGCCAGCTGGACGGCCTGCTAGATGGCCAGATGGCCTTTTTCTCTTTTGTTCACTTGCGGGCTATTGTTTCCTGTAAGGACCTACAATGTGTACCCACACATTGTCTGTCCTTTCCATACTTCACATCAAGCGCAACTGCAGTCACGCTTCAGTAACATAAACAACCTGTATAATATTAAGCCGCATTACATCATGTAAATACACATATATAAGATGCGTGGGTAGGAGGAAAGGCTCCTCAGCCTTTACTCCCCCATTAACAATATAGCTCATTAAAGCGTATTTGTGTGATGGACCGGGAGTGTGAGGCACTTATAACCACACGCTTACACATTTTTATGCTTGGTAAGTTAACCCCGCGCTTGTTCCTGATTTGATCGACGTTGCAAAGCATGTCGATCTAATCTGCACCCAGACCCTCTTCCCCGATGAGTTCTCAAGGGGCAGCTGGATCGTCTTCTTATCGAAAGAAGACAAAGACTGTGCAGAAATCTGCACAAGAACTTGATCCCGTTGTAGACATTGGTGAGGCCGACACCACACCAATTGACCCCGATCCGATCGGGAGCCCTAACGTGCCTCCAGATGAGCTAGACTTGTTGGGAGTGGTGGCTGATACAGAAGCCCCAGCCGCAATTGCTGCCAATCTGGACCACGTGCCGATTGACACAGAGACTCAGTCAGCAGCGAGAGGCACAGGCCCATCAGCACCTGTGCCCCTACTTCCAACCATGAGTGGTGAGCCGACAGGGACTAATAATCCCCCTGTTGATGAAGCAATGACGAAGGGAGACCTACCACTCTCCGTTGTTGCACCATGAGAAGATGTGCCATGGAGGGAATTCATCCAGACGTTGTAACGGGTCTATCGCCTAGACTCGAGACAGAGAGAAGGGGGAGGGTGGTAGTGTGCGCAGGTGTGGTTCGTTGGGCTGGGTTTTGGTCCTGGGGCGCTACTGAGTCTGCAAAAACCTCAAACAAACACTCACCTACGTCTCTCTTGGACGTCAAGGCTGAGTATTATGATGAGAGGGGTCTTAGACGTGAGCAACAATCTCAAGGGGGGCGTTAGGGTCGTGGATGGCAGCTTTGCCACTTGGATGCAACTTCTGCTTGTCCCTTCACGGGTCTATTCAATACTAACTTGTTATGTACAAGCTGTTATCTAGTTTATATATGTTGGAAATGGAATGAATGGACTGGGGAAATGTAAACGGGCCGTTAGGCAACCGTAAATGATGAATATCCAATTGGGAACAAAGAAACAATAAAAGAAATATGAATGAATGGGGAAAATGTGACAACGGGTCCGAAATGGGAATTGTGAAAATTAACTCCGCAACAGTTCGCCACAGCGCCCGCCTATCCTCCCGTCAGCAATCTCCTCGTCTCCAGCTTTCCAACGAGCCCTTATTCGTCCCAATTGGTGCAGTGGTTCTTGAGATGTGGAGAGGGGGTGAAATTGGCGGCGTGGTTGGGCGTGGGAATTTTGCTTGGGGTTGTCGGGAATGATGGGGAAAATAAGGAAAAATAAGGAATGAGTGTATGGAGTGTTGGATAGTGATAGAATGAACATCGGGAGCGTCAGAGGGTATGTGGTATATGTTAGTGACCAAATTCCGCAGAATCCGACTTTTTGCGGTACACGGAGTTGTCCCCACAACAACGTTTGTGAGTTTCAAAAAAGGGCTCGAAAGTCGATTCAACACCATTCTGGAAAGGTTAGACGTGCTCGAGGGATGTCAGGAGCTTCGCCCTGAAGAAGCCCCTTGACCCGTCGAACTTGACAAATTGGAAGAGACTCTGAAGGTTCCTGAAGGACCTTCGGAGCCTGCATCAACTGTGCCCAGATGAACACTAGATCCAACTAGGGTGTCTAAACAGACGCTGCATGACCAAGGGACTTTTCCCATGGTTACGATGACTCAGAATCTGCATGATGACAATGGCCTACCCGAGTTTGTCCACATCCCAGGTTCAGGGGATCCTGGAATACAGATGGCCACTATATACCCTGACCCAGAAAGTGAGGAATCCGCCTCGTCACCAGTGCGGATACCTTCCCATTTGAAAGAGGAATGGGTGAACAAGGATTGTAACGAACCTGATCACTTTCTCGAGCCACGGAATCGACCTCCTGATGATGAGGCCAACAGGAGTGAGGGTCTACAGAAGACCATCACTGAAATGTTGGGGCAAGCGGTCATGACAGTTGTGGAACAACTGAACACGTCTCGTTTAAATTCTCAAGAACCACCTGTGGTTTTCGTTAGTTCATCAGATTCTGATAATGCAGATGTTGAGGCAGGATTGCCTTGTATATCTCATCGTGGAACCGGTTCAGCCATTGTGGTCAACCGGTGAGGCGAAATCAAGAGGAAGCAAAGACACCTCTTTGCTACTCCTGCACTGAGTGAAGCATCCAAGGAATATAGGACGTGAGTGGATGATGATGCAGCATATGTCTATATGCTGCACAGTCTTGAATCAGAACGCCGAGGCCATGCTCGAGAACTGCAGAGTAGGTTAAATACCTATGGGTGGTTCAGGGCGCAAGTGCCTCCTGGTGGTGGTGACAGCGATGCAGCTACCTTCTTTGGCCTTAATTGGCCTAGTAAACAACACGAATGAGAGCAGGAGCTGAGACGAGAAGTCTCAACTCCCCAGCCTACCATTCGTTGTATGCTGGGTCCTCAGGTTGAGGCCCTGATAAACCTAATTTCTCCCATGAAAAGAGAGTTCAGCAACAATCTGAACCCTCTTCAGGCGACAAGCTCAATTGTTCTGAGGATGGTGAGTGCCACCAACCCGAACAATGGGTTCGTTGAAACTACTCTTAGGTCCTATTCTAGGGACCCTAACAGTATGACCCCTGGAGACCCGGAGGGTTTCATGGGTGATCTTGTAAGAAGGGTATCAAACCTTGTAAAGGCTCGTATCCTAACACCTCTCCCAGCTGATGTAAAACCAGAGTTACTGAAAAAGAACTCTGTGCCATTCCCCACCACTTTGTGGTCTGGGGAAAACAATCTTGAAAAATTCGAGAACTGGCTGGTGGAGCTCACTTCCTGGATATCAGGAAATGGGTGGAAAGGCACGAGCTATAACAAGCTTCATATAGATGCTCTAGCTCATGCCTTAGATGGCAACCCCAAACAAATTGTGCTTCATGATATGAAGCAAGGTTTTGAGGAGGGGTCGACCCCTACCTTCATTCAGCTGTTAAACAAGCTGATGTTAACATGTGAAGAGATCAGCAGCAGTTCCTGCCATCAAACTCTTCAAAACCCTTGCATATGATTCCTCCAAAGGAATAAAGCACTTCTATACTCAGCTTCTCCAAGCATCGGAGAAGATGATAACTCGCCCTGACCAGGCGAGTTTCAATGAGCGTTTCTTGAATGCTCTTCCTTTATACATGAAGGAAGAGCTAGTAATGCGTGACCGAATTTCGGTCGATTTCTCGTCCAAAGATGACCTTTGGACTGCAGTATTATGTGTAGACCATGTGTATGATTCCATGCGTGCTATCAATGCATATAGGGGAGGACTGACACCCTCCAAATTTACAAATCCCTCGAAAATGAAATTGAGTGGCTCTCACAGCACCGCCCCTTCAATGAAAGGGGTGGCGACCTCTGCTTCAAAGGTAACTACGACACATAGTTTCCCTCCATCTTTAGCCTATAGTGCTAAGAAAACACAGGTAGCGACAAAACCCTTAGTGGCTTTGTCGTCAAGAACTCAGACTGAGGCACCTACCCAGGTGTCTCCTCCAAATAATAACCGGTATTGTCATATCCATACATACCCGATCCCGATCCGACTCCCAGACCCCCATCTTCACCACCTCCAGAGTCCTACCCTACCGCCGTCCGTTCTGATATTCACCTTCGGACCTGACACCACTCCTCCTCTTACCCCCCATGCCACCTCCACCCTTCCATCCTTCTCCTACCCTATCTCCGTCCGCTCCAATACTCACCTCGGACCGAACATCACTCCTCTTGCCACCCTCCTCCTCTTACTCCTCCTCTTACCCTTCACATCACCTCCACCCTTCTGTCACTCTCCTACCTTATCTCTGTCTGCTCTGATACTCACCTTCGGACCTGACACCTTTCCTCTCCTCCACTCCTCTCCCCATTCCTCTCTTCTCTCTCCTTCCTCTGACCCTCTCCTGCCAACCCTCCACCAAGTTACGACCTTCCACCACTGTCCTGTACCCTGTACTCAGACACCGCTTGTACCTTCGCTCCGAGATTCTGTCATAGTTCTGACCTCGGACTTTGACTCCACCTTGGCTTAAGTCCATTGCATTGGTGACCTCATACTACGTAAACACCATTGCCAATATTCCTCGGACTTTCAACCCTGCCTCCATAACCTCCATAACCTCCATAACCTCTGAGCTCCATGGATCATACTCAGCACTTTCACTGTTTGTAATGTATCTTTCGTGTTTTCCCCTCATCCTTATTTGGACTGCTGCTTCTCTCCATTCTAGCCAGTTAGTCATCATCCCCACTTCACCTCATCCTCCTGCCCCTCTGGGCTTCGCCCTCCCTATCTCCTTTTGGATGTACCACAGGTTCTGACCTATGACCTTCGGTACCACTCTGCTTCCATCATCCCTTTGTTCCTGTTCAGACGCCTTTGTTCCGCTTCAGACCCCCTTTGATTTCCTTGTGCTATCGTCTTTCTATTATATACAGGCACTTGTACATACTCATTTTGGACCTTCAGTCTAAAATCGACCTGAAATGCCCCCTAGAGACTTCCTGCTCGCCGCCTCTGAAATTAAGGACCAAATGGACAAACAGCAATGGCACAGCGCTCTGCATGAGTCGCTGAGGCCAAGGTCCCTCCTTGCTAAGTCTCCGGTTCCCCTCCGGAATCGTCTGCCCTCGCCCAGTTCTAACAGGTATGCTTCGAATACCGGATCTTCCAGTTATCAACGTCGTCCCTCGAAGGATGCAAAGGGTAACCCACTTTGCTACAAATGTGGCAAAATCGGGTATTCATTCCAATGCCCAAATCACCCACCTAGAGCCAAACCTTTCGCTCTGGGGATTGATGAAGACACAGACGACGACACCCCAGCAACAGAAGCTGGGGTGGAAGAAGAAGAGCCATCTGGGGAGTCCCCAGATGACCCAGTGGCTGCTATCGATGAAGGGGATGACCGCCTTGTCGATGATCCATATGAACACCCTGATCCTCAGGATGAGTTAGAAAGTGAGCCTGAAGGCAAGGTCACCTTTGGGCATGTGGGTCTATGAGGGATGACATTTGTGGACCCATCTGAGGACAATTACACCCTAAAACTCGCTTCGGCTCAGAGAGCGGAGAAACTCCTGAGCAAAGAAGAAATCTATGCTGAACTGGTTGACGAACCCATTCGTCGATTCAAGACTGAGGTGTCAGAGTCTGGAATATTGTCAGAGTTGGGCAGACTGTCAGAAGATGGACTGAAGATGGATTGGGTTTCTGTCTGAGTTGGGGTCGGAGATTGTGGCAGAGGTCTGTTGGAGCGCACATGTGCGGATATGCAGGCGGAAATGTGCAGCGCATCCAGAAGTGCTGTTCAAGGTTAGCAGAGTGGGATCATGGCCTCAGCGACTCAGGTGGAGCGCTGTGCCCTGAGCTTGACGTTTGGGGGAGATCCTGTATTTACAGACTGACACTTACAGCGGACTTCAAACAAGACTTGTGGGTGGAGTGGACCTGTAGGAGGAGTGTGGACTCTGCGAGCACGGACTCAGAGGGGGGGAAGCCCCCTTTGCAGAAGGAGGGACTCAGACCAGACAGGGGGGTACTC